AGAAGCACCAGCTCAGCCCAGCATAGCAGCATCTAGCTGCAGTCCTAGCTACTCAAAAGGTTCAGGTTGGAAGGTAACTTGAACCCAGGGGTTCAGACCAACCTGGGCAACTTAGACCCTCTCTTATAAAGGAGGAGGGTGGAAGAAAAACAGAGGAAAGAGAAACAAGAGAAGGATGAGGATGAGAGGGAAAAGGAAGAGGAAGTGGAGTTGGAAGAGGAGGAGGGAGAGAGGGGAGAAGCAGAGAGAGAGAGAGAGAAAGAGAGAGAGAGAGAGGAACATTGAAGTCTGAGGTTGTCCCCAGGGGGAAGAAAATAAAACCTAATCTAAAAACTAACTACAAGTGAAAAAGAGCTTAGAGTATAGCTCAAGTAGTAGAGGACCTGCTTGGCAAACCCAAGTACTCCCAAGAAGTCAGAAGGGCAGTAGTGGTGAGACAGTAGCATCCTGGGTCCCGTGCTGGCCATCATGGTGCTACAAGCTGTAGGGTGTCCCTGACAGCAAGCCAAGAACGTGATGACTACGCCCTTTGTAGAATTTGTGTCCTGATTCTGCTCAACAATTCTTTGGGGCTTGTACTCAGGGCCTGGACACTGTCCCTGAGCTTTTTTTGCTCAAGGCTAGTACTCTACCATTTGAACTACAGCTCTACTTCTGGCCTTTTGCTGGTTAATTGGAAATAAGAGTCTCATGGACTTTTCTGCCCAGTCTGGTTTCAACCTATGATTGCCAGATCTCAGCCCCCTGAGTAGCTAGGATTACAGGCATGAGCCACTGATGCCCAACCCTAGTAGCTTTCCAATAAATGTATATTGTGCGTCTAAATGACAGAGTCCATTGGCCTTTAGACCTACTGTACCTGGGCTCACTCTTGGGTTCTGTGTGCCATTCTCTCCCCTAAGACTGCTGCAGCTTCCTTCCTTTCCTGTAGCTCTACTGCTTCACATTGGCCCCCATCTGGCCTCAGGAACCCTGTGGTGTCAGCACTGGGCTAGGGAAGAGGATCCTCAGAATCACTAAGGGGAAAAGGCAGGGCGGGGGGGGGGGGGGGTAAAGGAAACTTCTCCTCTTTTTATATCACATCTAAGTTTTTATTTACTAAGTTCCAGCACTGTACTGACCTTTTATAGCCATGCCCCACAAGAAGATTTTTGAGGCAGAAACTCCTATGATCCCCAATTTCAAGTGAGGAAAAGGTGATTCCTGGATCCTCCTTCAACCTAATTGGTGGGAAGAAGGATGAGTAGTAGCTCAGCGCTGAAACAAGATTGGCCAGGAGTTGATAATTACAAGTTACATAATGGGTATGTGGAGTTCATGGTACTAATATGTATAATTTGTCTATATTTGGACTTTTCCATTGCCTGCTCTCTCAATTTCTTTCTACACTGAATTCCTGGAAAGATGCCTTAAAAAGTCTAAGCGGGGGGTAAAGGGGGAGTGATTTTCAGAAAATTCAAAGGGGATTCAGAAGCCTGGACTAAACTTCTTGCTCGTGTGTTCTGGGTTCGTGGCAGGGAAGATCAACACAATATAGCAAGATAGTAACTCTCCTCACACAGAGCTGATTCTAAAGTGTGTGCCCTGGTTTTCTCTGCCAGCTTTGGAGGACATGCAGAGGCAGTCCATGAGAAGGTGCTTGGCAGCCAAAGTTTTCTAAAAACACCCAGGCAACAGCTGTCCTGAATTGTCACCTGACCTGCCAGGCCCTGAGTCAGCACTACCCTCCTCCAACAGCCAGATCCGACTTGCCCTTGGCTGGCTAAGCTAAACCAGTTGGACCAGCCCAGCCCTGCCCTGTCCCAGCATCCTTCTCAGGGGCAGCTTCTTCTACTTCTCTGACTCTCACCTGGACTTCCCACCCCAGTTCTGGCCTTCTCATTCACAGCAGTGACCTCAGGACTCAAACTTCAGCTCTGAAGGGAGCTAAAAGATCACAGCCTAGTCCTTAGAGACATAGACAGGGCTCTGGAATCTGTCCCTGAATGGAAAAAATAAGCGAGGCACATCAGTATCTCCTGCCACCTGCCAGTCTTCCATCTTGGCATGTCTCTGGGATTCACTTCAAGAGAAAAACAGAATTAAATGTAAAGTTGCTCCCTGTCCTACGTTCAGTTCTAAAAGAGATTAGAGCTGGGGTAAAACAAAGACGAGACCAACTGGAAAGCAGATTGTTTTTTGGAGACAAAGACTTTCTGTACAGCCCAGGCTGGCTTCCAACTGCATAAACATTGTGCTTTCCCCATAGTTTAAGGTGACACGCACAGGCCACCACACCCAGCCATTAGTTGAGATGGAATTTTGCAAACTTTTGTGCCTGGGCTAGCCTTGAACCACAAACCCCACCTCTCAAGTAGCTAGGATTACAGGCTTGAGCCATCACACCCAGCTGGCCTCAAATTCTTGATCTTCTTGCCTTCTCTTCCTAAAATTTGGGATTACAGGTATGAACCACCACAGCTACAAATCAAATTTTTGTTGTGTGTTTCTAATAGATCCATTCATTACACCCTTACTAGGTCTACACATGACACTACAGTTGAGTGCTGACATACATATTCTCCAGCTGTCACTGGGGATTGGTACTAGGGCTTGGGAACCCAGGAGGCATGGAGCCCATTGCTAGACCTTCTCCTTGATAACACCTCCTCTTTCAGACCATTCAGGTCAGCATGGTCTGAATCCTTGGCCTCTGTGACCTTGGGCTAGTAACCTCTGTTTTAGTCCTCCCCTAACTTGCAGGATTGTTGTGAGGGTCACAGTAATATGAGTGCACAGTAAGTGTTCAATAAGTATCAGTATCCTTCACCTTGCCTTGGTATTGGCTCTTTCTCCAAGCCTTCAGGCTGAGACAAAGTACTACCCAACTCTCATATTTTGATGGAATAAGATGATTATACCTATCTTCCTACTGCTTCCCTTATGGTCCAGTTGTTTTCTGGTCATCTGCTGGCCCACACCATACCACACCAATGTACTGACTTCATGATTCTACACACTTTTCATTTCTAAACATTCTAACTTATTACCTTCCCCAGACTCCTAAATATGTACTCCAATACCCCTCCTCCCATCACAATTTTCTGTCTATTCATTGTCTAAAAACCTATTTCCTTGAGTCTCCTGCTCATTGGCTGGTGCTTTACCACCTAAGCCATATCTCTAATCCGAAAAAAGTTGTGAGGAAAAAAAGGACACCTTGTTGAATAAGAGACTTAAATGACTTATCAACTATTGAAGTCTGTGGACCTTGTTGGATCCTGATTTAAACAAATAACCATTAAAAAACATGTTTTATATTTATTAGATAATTAGACATTTAAATGATAGACTTTGATGACATTGTTTAAAAAGGACTAAGGTGTTTTTTTTTAATAGTCTAGTGTTTGAGTTTTGTTCTTTAAAACTAAAATGTTGAGCCAGGCACCAGTGTCTCATGCCTATAATCCTAGCAACTCAAGAGGCTGAGATCTGAGGATTGTGGTTCAGAGCCAGTCTAGGCAGGAAAGTCTGTGAGACTCTTATCGCCACTAAACTAATAAAGCTACAAGTGGAGTTGTGGTAGAGTGCTAGCCTTGAGCAAAAATAACCTCAGGGACAGTGCCCAGGCCCTGATTTCAAGTCCCAGGAACAACACAAAAATAAATAAAAACAAATAAAATGTCCAGCTGGGTGCTGGTGGCTCACACCTGTAATCCTGCTACTCTGGAGATTGAGATCTCTGAGGATCACGGCTCAAACCCCACCTGGGCCAGAAAGCCTATTAGACTTCTCTTCAATTAAGCATGGCTCACCTGGTAGAGCACTAGTGAGGGGGAAAAAGAAAAAACACTCAGGGACTGCACTTGCACCCAAGCCAGAGTTCAAGTCCCAGGATTGTCACATAACAAAAAAATACCTTGGTGGGCACTGGTGGCTCACACCTATAATCCTATCTACTCAGGAGGCTGAGATATAAAGATCATGGGTCAAAGTCAGCATGGGCAAGAAATTCTGTGAGACTGATCTCCAGTTGACTATCAAAAAGCCAGAAGTGGAGCTGTGACTCAAGTGGTAGAGTACTAGCCTTGAGCAAAAAAATTTAGGACAGTGCCTCGGCCCTAAATTCAAACTCCAGGACTGGTACAAGCAAGCAAGGGAGGAAGAGAGAGAGAGAGAGAGAGAGAAATACAACATCTGAGATTTGCTTTAAAATGAAATACTGGAGGGAGTGGGGTATTAATGGGAGTGGAGGAGAGACAAAATGAGGAATGAATTCAGAATTGTTGAAGTTAGAAAATCATCACATAGGGCTTATTCTACTACAGGGTCTACATTTGCGAATCTTTAAAATTATCCAACATAAAAATTATGAAAAGCTACCTAATATAAGTGGTTTGGTCTTTTTGTGTGTGTGTGTGTGTGAGTGAGTGGTAGGGCCTAAACTCTGGGCCTGGGCACTGTCCCTCAGCTCTTCAGCTTAAGGCTAGCACTCTACCACTTAAGCCACAGTGCCACTTCCGGATTTTTCTGCTTATGTGGTGCTAAGGAGTCGAACCCAGGGCCTTATGCATGCAAGGCAAGCACTCTACCATGATATTGAGACAACTTCTTAACCCTTGGTTTGGTTTTATACTAATCTAGTAAAAATGGTTTCTCTATCTATAACTAGTTAAAAAAACATGCCAACCAGGTCTGTACTAAGAGCAGATCTCTTCAGTCCACCAACATCCATAATATTTACCCATTAGCCAGTCTTCTGGTCAGTGAACTCTAACTCCACCCAACTCAATGATCTGATCTTGTTTACAAAGATATCATGAAAGACTCACACAGTGCCTTGCAAAAGCCAAAATGCAAAGTTCTAAGCATTATCCTCACCTGCCACACTTGGGATGGGATCTTTTCTTTCCCCCAGTAATGCTGGGGATCAAACTTTGGGACTCAAACATGCTAGGCAAGCACTCTACCACTGAATTATATCCTTACTCTCTCTGTATATTTAAAATTAAGAGTTTTGAAGTGCTTTTCAGCCTTTTGGCTAATATCAACTTTATTATCTGTTCTCATGAGTTTAATATCTGTTACATGCTCTAGCTGAGCACAATATATGAAGTGGATTTTGAAAGGCCCACTCCATGCATTTAACTTGCTATTGTAGAAATGGCCCAGGAATGGTCCAGCCCATTAAAGGACTTAAAAATTATTCTTAAACCATTTGTTTTAAATGAATCAATCAATATTGATTCCAGTACTCCCCTTTTTTCCCCAAAGTACTTTAACTTGTTTTGTTTTTATTTCCCAGTCCTGGGGCTTGAACTCAGGACCTAGGTGCTATCCCTGACCTTTTGAGCTCAAGGCTAGCACTCTACCACTTAAGCCACAGCTTGACTTTCAGCTCTTTAATAATTAATTGGTGGTAAAAGTCTCACAGACTTTTGCCTGGGCTGACTTTGAACCAAGATCCTTAGATCTCAGCCTCCTGAGTAGCTATGATTATAGGTGTGAGCCACTGGCACCCACCTTTTTGTCTTTTTCTTTTTCTTTTTTTTTTGTCAGTCGTGGGGCTTGAACTCTGGGCCTGGGCGCTGTCCCTCAGCTCTTCAGCTCAAGGCGAGAGCTCTACCACTTGAGCTGCAGCGCCACTTCCAGTTTTCTGGTGGTTTATTGGAGATAGGAGTCTCACGGTCTTTCCTGCCCGGGCTGGCTTTGAATCGCGATCCTCAGATCTCAGCCTCCTGAGTAGCTAGGATTACAGGCGTGAGCCACCAGCGCCCGGCTCTTTTTCTTTTTCTTGTTAGAGACATGGTCTCACTGTGTCCAGGCTAACAACTTGAGGTCCTCTCGTTTTTCTAAGCTCAATACTCAGGTTACAGGCATGTGCCACCTTGTCCAGCTTTGCTCCATTTATTTATTTATTTATTTTTATTTTGCTGGGTCTGTAGCTTAAACTCAGGGCCTAGGTGCTGTCCCTGAGCTCTTTTGCTAAAGGCTAACGCTCTATCTCTTGAGCCACATCCCCACTTCTTGCTTTTTGGTGGTTAATTGGAGATAAGAATCTCTTGGACTTTCCTGCCTTGGATGGCTTTGAACCGTGATCCTCGGATCTTAGCCTTCTGAGTGGCTAATGTTACAAGCATGGCCATATTTTGGTCCCATATTTTAAATAGCCTAATTTTGACATTTATAGTATCAACATCAATTATTTTCTGTATATTGCCTTGGTCAATGAGAGTACCACATCCCTCAACCACACACAGGACTCAGGCCAGGCCACAGAGTCTAATCCTGGGTTTCTGTTGGGAAGGACTTTTTTTTATTGCTCAATTGGAAGGATATAATCCTACAGAAGCTGGTGGCTATCTTGTCACCACTAGAAGTCTGCCTGACATGGCCACTATCATGGTAGAAAGTGGACCTGAAGGATGGGAAGAAAGGGATTCTTGGATATCACTTGAGCCTCTAGATTAAGCTCTGAACTAAAAGTCCAATAACCTAAGTTTCTTTTGGCTATGTGAGACAATACATTGTCTTCTCTGCTCAAATTACTTTAAGCTGTATTTCTGTCACTTGCAAAAGGAATTCTAAGGAATACAATATGTGTTGTCGATTGAACAACCGAATGCATAATCTAAAATGTTCTATTTGAAGCCTGTGCCAGGCTCAGCATTATTTTTTCTAAACAGATTTACTTAGAATTATATTAATATGAGCTTGCATACCCTAATTGCTGAGTCAGAAATATTGCATGCTGGGAAGAGGAGTGCTTTTTCTTGGATATTTAAATTTACTATGGAAACGATGACTATGATTTTTTTTAATGAAGGCCTTGCAATCATCTGAAGAGATATTTTAAAATAGAGATTTCCCAGTATGGGCACTGGTGGCCCACGCCTATAATCCTAACTACTCAGGACACTGAGATCTAAAGATCAGAGTTCAAAGCCTGTCCAGGCAGGAAAGTCTGTGAGACTCATCTCCAATTAACCACCCAAAAAAAAAGCCATCAGTAGTTCTGTGGCTCAAGTGGTAGCCTGAAGCTAAAAAACTCAGAACAGTGCTCAGGCCTTGAGTTCAAGCTCCAGGACAGGCAACAACAACAACAAAAAGATTCCTAAGCCCCAGTTGAGTGTGCTCTGTAAGAATTTCCCAGCAACATTCTATGTATTCCATAAATAGATTCATAGAATAGAGATGGAAGCACCCATGGAGCTCATTTCATTCACCTCTCCAGCTTTCAATGGATAATATAATGAGAAGCTGACTAGTCTTGGCTCTATTTCTCTTACACACCTCAAGGCCAGACTGAGCACTTTGTCCAAACCCCTCCACTCCCATTCATTCAAATGCAAAAGTATTCATAACTCAGAAGATTTACTAAAGACTTCATCAGAAGATGGAAAAGATTATGTCTTACTCTACAAAGTAAAATTTAATTCGATTCCTCCTCCATCAGACTAGCTAGACCTGTTCTCCCTCTAAAGGCTTTCTTCTTGTTCTCTTGTATTGCTGTCTTTGTATCTCTTCCCCTACATAACTTCTAAAGTTCTCTTTTCTACCAAAACATTCAGTTCTAGTCTCAAGTATATATTGAATTAAAGGAAACAAAAGAAGCAGTTAAAAACAAGTGTTTTTCTCCTTGGGATCATGGGGAAGGATTTCAGCTTATCTCATGGTGTTATTTCCTAAATGCTTATTAAAAACAAAATACTGAAATGTGCTCTGACTTATGTGACTGTAGCCCTCTGTACATCACCTTTATAAAAGGTGGATCACACCTACTATCCTAGTTACTCAGGAGGTTGAAATCTGAACATGAAGGTTCATCAAGGTTCAACTGAGGCAGACAAATCTGTGAGACTTTTATTAGCCAGCAAGAAGCTGACAGTGAAGGTATGGCTCAAGTGGTAAGGTGCCAGCCTTAAGTGGAAAAAGCTATGCAAGAGCGTGAGGCCTAGCCAGGTGCCAGAAGCTCACACCTGTAATCCTAGCTACTCAGGAGGCTGAGATTTGAGGATGGGGTTCAAAGCCAGACTGGGCAAGAAAGTCCATGAGACTCTTATCTCCAATTAACCACCAAAAAACCAGAAGTGGCGCTGTGCTCAAGTGGTAGAGCACTTGCCCTGAACTGAAGAGTTGAGGGACAGTGCCCAGGCCCAGAGTTCAAGCACCACAACCAACAACAACAACAAAAGAATGTGAGGCCTTGAATTCAATGTCTAGTACTGGTGTGTGCATGCGTGTGCACACACACACATACACAATAATAATAATAAAGAAGAACATGAAGAAGGAGGAAGAGTATTCTTACCTAGCATAGAACATTTTTCTTTTTATGCAAATTCTTTATTGTGATTAAGTGATTACATGATTTCACAAATTTCACAGTATTGTGGGATAGTGACAGTTAAAGTCACAAACACATGCTAACTTTCATGGGGCAAATTGTCTATCATGGTCTGTAAAGTTTATGAGTTCTATGAGCTTTGACAATACAGTTATTTCTTCCACATCAGGTGATATGTACATTCCTTTCCTTTTGCATAGCATCAGCTGTTCCCTCTTTCCCACTCGTTCCCTCCCTCCCTCCCTCCTTCCTATCACTGCTTAGTTTGTTTTGATCAATGTCCAGTGCAGCTGATGGGCCTCACTGTTGTATGTTTTTCCCTGATTCCCTTTAGTTCTGTGTCCTCCTCCTAGTTTCCCTCAGGTGTGCACATATATACCATATATGTGATCAGCAGCATGGGGTTATTTAGTAGTTATTTGACCAGATGAGTGGAAGTCCTTTGTTTCTCAAGTCTTGTTAACTTTGTCGTCACCTTATATTTTGGATTTAGCATCCACTTATCAGGGACACCGTGTGCCGTTTGTCTCTTTGCTCTTGGCTTACCTCACTCAACATGATTTCTTCTAGTTCCATCCATCTCCCTGCAAATGCCATTATTTTGTCCTTTCTAATGGCTGCATAATATTCCATTGTGTATAGATACCACAATTTTTGGATCCGTTCATCTGTGGTGGGGCATCTGGGTTGTTTCCATATCCTGACTATTGTGAACAGTGCTGCAATAAACATGGAGGTGCATGTGTCCTTGTAAAATGGTTCCTGTTGTTCAGGATAGATGCCTAGGAGTGGTGTGGCTGGGTCACAGGGGAGGTCAATCTTTAGCTTTCTGAGGACCCTCCAGACTGTGTTCCAGAGTGGTTGTATACGTGTACATTCCCACCAGCAGTGTAATAGGGTTCCTCTTTCTCTGCATCCCCTCCAGCATTTGTTGTTGGCTGAATTTAGGAAGTGGGCCATTCTGACTGGGGTAAGGTGGTATCTCAGGGTTGTCTTTATTTGCATTTTCTTTTTTCTTTTTTTGTCGGCCATGGGGCTTGAACTCTAGGCCTGGGCGCTCTCCCTCAGCTCTTCAGCTCAAGGCGAGCGCTCTACCACTTGAGCTGCAGCGCCACTTCCAGTTTTCTGGTGGTTTATTGGAGATAGGAGTCTCACGGTCTCTCCTGCCCGGGCTGGCTTTGAGCCGTGATCCTCAGATCTCAGCCTCCTGAGTAGCTAGGATTACAGGCGTGAGCCACCAGCGTCCGGCTATTTGCATTTTCTTTACAACCAGGAATGGTGAACATTTCCTCATGTGTTTCTTTGCCATTTTTATCTCTTCTTCTGAGAAGTGTCTCCTTAGTAATTGGTTTGTTGGGTTTGGGAGGGATTAGTTTCTTTCTTTTTTTTTTTTTTTTGGGGTCCGGTTGTGGGGCCTGAACTCTGGGCCTGGGCGCTGTCTCTGAGCTCTTCAGCTCAAGGCTAACGCTCTACCACTTGAGCCACAGCGCCACTTGCGGCTTTTTTCTTTTTGCTTATGTGTTGCTGAGGAATCGAACCCAGGGCCTCATGCATGCAAGGCAAGCGCTCTACCACTGAGCCACTTTCCCAGCCCTGGGATTAGTTTCTTGAGTTCCCTGTATATACTGGATATTAACCCCTTGTCTGATATATTTGCTGGTAAATATTTTTTCCCAGTTAGTTGGTTGTCTTTCTAGCTTGGTTGCTATGTCTTTAGCCGCTAACATAGAACTTTAATTATGAGTTAAATCACACTTTTTAAAATTTTTTGACAGTCCTGGGGCTTGAACTCAGGACCTTGGGTGCTGCTCCTGAGCCCCTTTGTGCTCAAAAATCACACTAGTTGTTGTTGTTGTTTTGTATTTTTGGGTC